TCACCGGCTNGTATACTGTGCATAACCGGGGCATATAACATTGAATAATAAACACAGCCCTCGCTTTTATAAACAATACCCCCCAAAATACAAACCCAATATACCCCCTTGACCCACCATACACCCTCTTTCACCCCCCTCCAACTTTCATTCTTCCTTCCGACATTGTGCACTTATTCTTCAATAGCACGCAGCACCATCTAAAATAAATGGTTGATTCCTTTATCCAGAGCATATTAATCTTCTCTGAATCAATCATTACCTTCATGCACCCCTATATTACCTGTCCCATAGTATATAGACAAATATATTTTAACAAGCTATAGATTTAGGCTTCGTTTATATATTGCCTAATTCCCCAAAATAATCCAGTGGTTAGAAAATTCACGAGCAATTGATTTGGGGAGCTTGTAAATGATTGTATCCTCACGATGAACAGATGTATCACAGTTGAATTCATGCCTGTTCTAAACTACCTCATATTGGCACTGTCACCTGCCTTTCTAAGTTTTAGTTAGAAGAAAATAGAAGCATTGAAAGTATGTAACAGCTCAGATATGCAGTTTTTAAAATGTTTCAAAAATATTTCAATATTATTTTTTTTTAAAAAAAAACAGATCTTTCTTCTTTCTAAATGCCTTGATATACCTATAGTTTCAGCAATCATTCAAAATTATATTGCCTCAGTTCAGGACAGCAAACATAATTCAAAAACTTGAAGTCCTTAGAAATATCTGCCAAGATCATAATGAAAAATAATAGTGTCACTTCTTAAATCATCAAACTTTAGAAATGATCACGAATTCCAAATTTGTCCTGATTAAAAAATATCTGGAGGATTAACTCTGAGCCACAGGACAGGAAATCAGTAATACTTCACGCAAAAAGTTGGAACAAGAAAAACAGTCCATTCCTCAAACACCGAGGAACAATATGTCCAATTTGCTAGGTAGTTAATTTTTTCCCATTAATAACTTGGATTTATTCTCTCATAAATGAGTGTGTGGAAGTTAGAGTATGTGTCCTAATGAATTAGACAAATAAAAATTTGAAACAGAAACCCACAAAGTTGGATTTTTGTATTTCACAGAATAATCATCTCCCAATTGCTCAGATGATTTTCTACAATATTCATTGTAGAATTATTTGCAATTAGCAACATAAAATAACAATCTCGAAAGCCAAACATATTTTATCCACATTATTTTATTCGAAACAAAATTCAAGTAGGATTATTTTGCATTTCTTTCTGATACTTTCTTAGGACTGGATAATTATTTCTAAAATTCTTCCTGTAATGATTCAACCATTTCTGCCAAGCTTGGTCTACATTCTTTCACAAGTTATATGTAGTTGCATTGAATAAATGATTCAAAAAGCATATTCCCATATGTTAATGAAATGCCAATTCAAGGAAACAGAAGCCTCCTAATTTATTTCAGAAAAAAAAAGGCTAGATAAGAAAGGTAGTATCATTGCACTCTGCGTTGAAAATTCCTAGGTTCAACATCCTGGATACTATTCTAGAGCTAACTAACATAGTCCTCTAACTAAGAATCACTTTACTATGGAATTTACAATTAATAGTATAATGTGAGGGAAATAGGAGAATGAAGGAGGATTAAATATGTTTGCTGGCCTTGAATTATTTATAAAAAAAATAATAAAGCTGGGATAACAATAATATAAAATATAAAATATTTGTTTAAATGGGGACCAGCTATTTTAATTACTAATCAGAGAATTTGATCAAGATACTTACATAAACAATGACAACAAATAATTAAAAATGTAAGCTTTAGATTTTAAACTAGATGGCCATTTTTCAACAATTTAAAGGGGAATAGGTTCATTTCCTTTAACTAGACTTTTCAGGACTTTTTATAAAACAGTTATAGCAGTTTAAATTACCGGTAAGATTTCCCAAAGAAGCTCAGAAATCTTATTTTTCGAAGTATATTACATATACAGAATTGTGGGAATAAACAGGAAGAAGGAAGTCTATTCTGATTGGATGTCTGTGATTACGTGGATTATCCAGTGCCTGGGAATTGATTTATTTCCTATTTCATTAATAGGGCTATGTTTATTTATTTATTAGTTAAATTAATATGGACACCCATCTCAGTTTCATCACTCTGAGTGTGTTGATCATATTCCCCGATTAGGAATTAAAGTAGCTGATCCCCATTTAAACATATATTTTACGTTATTTTTATTCCACCTTTATTATTATTTTTATAAATGACTCGAAGCCGCAAACATCTTCCTTCATCCTATTTCCCCTCACAATGTACTAATTGTACATTTCATGGCAAAGTGATTCAATATGTGTATTACCATTAACATATTTAAAAAATGAAACAATAGAAACAGTAAAACAAACAAAAACACTAAAATCATCCAAATTAAATATACTTAGCAGCCAGATACTTGGCCAAAAATGGGATCTTTGACACGCTTAGTATCTCAAGCTCAGGGTTTTTAGGGTTTAACAGAATTAGGGCGAGTGCAATCTCTGAGGGGCTGGTATTTCACGGAGGTATTTCACTGAGGAAAAAGCTGGTCTTCTGGTCTCCGCCAACCGACATTATTTGACTAGGGATCGGTAGCATGTTCATTCCGCTGGTCTTGTTGGATGGGCAGTGTCTCTTGCAAAAAGGTGATCCCTCAGGTATCCTGGTCCCAAGCCATATGCTGTGCCTTCCAAAACAAGAGATATCCCTGTATATCTATTGCTTTGGAAGGCACAACATATGGTTTGGGACCAGGATACCCAAGGGATGGCCATTCAGAAGGAGTAAACTATCAGTCTGCCTCCACCAATCCTTCCCTAATACCTCATTTCCTCAAAAACATATATTAGAGGAAAAAATATGGAGAAATGAAAGCCAGTGCGAAAGGCAGTCAGTGAATCCATGATTACCTGGGTTTACATTTCGATAGAGCTGTATGTGCAGCTTGTAATGAGCTCAGGAGAAACTTGACTAATATAATCTTCTCTGCTTCTTTTTAAAGCTTTGTAGTAATACTACCACAGCTGTTTCACTAAGGAAGGGAAACTAAGGGTGATCAGTTGGATTAACAAATGTGTGACCAGATTGTATATTACCACCTATTGCATATAATTACTTTTGTTCTGCTAAGTAGAAAGTATCTTCAAATTTATAATTAGATTGTTCTCTTCTAAATAACATATCCAACCACCCACCCCTCATTTATATTTTAGTTTATAGATTTAAAATGTAATGGCTGTATGGACTGTAAGTAGAGCTATCCTACATCCTGTACCCAGAAGTACACAAAACAGAAACAATAAATTTATGCTAAACAGAAAGATGATTTTGCAAGCTGACCACACACACAGTTTTAAATTAATGCATAACATGTCTCGAGGGATTTTGAATCAATACTTAATTGCACTGAGGAAGTGAAGAATACGTTAAGTAGTCATGCAAATATATGTGATACAAATCAAAGCAAGAGTCTGGATACTGAACTTTGTGTTACACACAAGTGTTAAATTGCACTGTTCATTTTGCCAGCAAAAAGGGGAAGGATTCCCAGGTGAAGAAATATACAATAATGCAATTTATTATTATGGACTTAGACCAGTAGCAAAATATATAGCTTCCTCACATTTCAAGAACTGATTTCATTCAAAGCCAACACCAAGGGAAGTGAAATCTCAATTTTTTAAAAAAAATCTTTAAGCCAGTGCATCCTTTTGTAATCACCCAATAAAAGCAGAGAGTTGATGTCCAAAGAAGAAGCCAATAACAGGAAACCATGAGCCCACATTGAGTGTTGAAGAAACAATCTAAAGTTAAGCCACACGACTAAGCAATCTTCCCTCAGTTTAAGGCAAACCAGAGTTTACAAATCACACATCCCTTTATCACTCTGTATTATGTACTCTGATGCTTCTAAAACCGTTGATAACTGCCAGTAGAATTAAATGCATCTTATGACGCCCTTCAGAGGAACTCAGAAAACAAAAGGTCAAATTCATTATTTAGAAGCATTTACAGCTACTAATCTAAGCCTTCTGCAATCTAATGCCCTAGACTGGATAATTAAAAAGAAAAGAAAAGAAATGCAAATACATGCAGTTGCCACATTGCACAACAGTCAATTCCAGTAGACCTCTCTCAAAGAAAACCACATCACAGTGTCCATGAAGTCACCAGAAACTGCATTTGAAAGAGGTTTTAATTTTTCCAGCTATGGCCAGTTTGAAGAAACTTAAAGGTTGAGGATTCCTAAACCTATATCGTGACTAAGAAACAGACTTTCCAATTCGATTGCATTCACGTAAACAACACGGCCTCAATGTTCTTTTCCATAACGAAAGCTACCAAACATTTTCCCTTTGAAATAGTTTCTTCTGTCTGGAATTATCTTAAGCTGTAGTAATATATTTCAGCTTTCAGGTGCCATGCTAAATATAAAAGCTGACATTGGCAGTGATTAACATTTCTCAAACATTCTTATTATCCAGAAATACATAATGAACCTGTCAGAACAGTATTCACGTTTTTGTCTCCTGGAAAACAGAAACAATTGCATCTCATCTTGCACTTGCCATTCACTTTAAATTACTTGACAATATGTACAACTAATTACTCTAATATTCACAGAAAATACAAGCAGGCAGCAACCACGTACCGTTCCAAAAGATTGGATTTTTTTTTCTTTGACATCAGAACAGAATGCAATTGCAGGTTACTCCACACAATGATAAATTCAAATCAACCAAATAACAATAATTCCTTTACTATAAAGCAGAGGTCTCCAAACTTGGCAACTTTAAGACTTGTGGACTTCAACTCCCAGAATTCTCCAGCTGGCTGCAGCTGTCCACACTAAAAAAAAGAAGAACCACGATCTTTTGACATCTACATCTAAATCCACCTCTGCATCCACATCTATATCTACAACCTTCTAATCAAGAGAAAAAGAACCACACAAGGCAAGTATTAAAGTAAAATCTTGCTTACCAAGTACCCCAAGTCGGTAGTTGACGGTGATGACTATCACGTTGCCATAACTTGCGAGCACACTGCCATCATATAAATTTCCAGTGCCTTCCATGTAAGACCCTCCGTGAATATACACCATGACTGGTTTAGGTCCCCCACTATCTCGAATGTCTGCAAGAAAAATATTAAGAAACATGATATCTCAAGAATTTTGTGATGTGCATAGACATCTTGCTATAAGTTGTTTTTCATTTTTCCAAGCTGTTTTTTATAATGTTTCCCAAGCAACATATGTAAATTATTGCAACTTTATCTGCTGTAGGCTGAGGTAGGTAACATCTATCCAAAATTGGATGATAGAATAGAATAGAATAGAATAGAATAGAGTAGAAATATAATTCTTTATTGGCCAAGTGTGATTGGACACACAAGGAATTTGTCTTTGGTGCAGATGCTCTCAATGTATCTTACAAAGGTAAGTATTGTAGGATTTTGTTAGTACTTGGATGGAGAATCATCAAGAAATTTCAGATCTCTAAGCTAGAGAATGAAGCCAAACAAAGCTTGAAAAAGGCAATGGTAAACCACTTTTTTTTTTTTACATTTAAACAATTTTCAAGCAAGTTTACCTTTTCATTTACTGAACTTTAATAACTATTATAGTGTTTTCTTTGAATAAGCATTAGATCATGAAATTATAATAATATGAAGCCTAAACACGATTGTTCTTTTCGAAAATGGAAATTAAGAATGATTGTATTTTTGTAGAAAAAAATGTTCAGTTTTTTCTTGCTTCTAGATTCACCATCAGAATTTAGGAAACATCCAACAGAAATCTGGGTTCTTTCGCTCCAGAATACCTCTACATTGCAAATCTAGAATGATAAATGTCAGTTGCTTAGGCAAGCTAAGCTTTCTATGTGTACAATTTATGCGGCCACTGATCTTAGAAAAATGAGTCTTTAAAGCTACAATTTAAGGGACCAACCATAGCACTCAAAGACACAAACACAAATCTGACTCTTAAAAGGCAACATTAACCAGCAGAGCTCGCCTGACCATCTGGATCAAAAAAGATGGGGGAACAGCAAATTCTTTTAAGGCCTTAGAAAAGGCTAACTGCGTTGTAGACATCTGGATCGTGGGAAGAAGGCTGTTCCATAACGCTGGCACTGGTACCCAGGAAACTGATTAGGCTTATTTTAAAAAAATGGATTTAGATGCCGGACTTTCAGTCTGTGAGCTTGAAAATGTACTGCTTCCTCAACAATAATAGAGCTTCCCTAAGATCACACGTAATGTCAAAGAATCCAGAATTACAACAGAATCTACCATCCCTGAATGTGCTACGGTAATTGGCTGGGTCTAAGAATCACCGTTTTTAGATGTTTGTCGATCTGTCCAGAGCTTAGAATGGTTGGTATTCCTAGACTTTGTATATAAACTGTGCAAAGTAGCACTAGAGACAACTTATTAGGTTACTGTTCCAATCAGAACGTAGGTGTGATAGAGACATCTTCAGGATGCAGACAGATCAAATTGGTTAGATCTGGTAAGAAGGCTACTTCTCTGGAATGACATAGGGCAGGAGTGTCAAACTTAATTTCATTGAGGGCCACATCAGAGTTTCATTGACAGCAGCCCTCCCGAGCTTCATGTTTGTGGGCAGGTCCTTCGCTGCTTCCAGGGTGGCCCGTAGGCCAGATCTAAGCACCCTGTGGGCCAGATCCAGCTCCCAGGCCTTGAGTTTGACACCCCTGGCGTACCCTAACCAGTGGTGGGTTTCAATTTATTTTACTACCAGTTCGCTTGTGTGTGCTCACATGCTCGCACTATACTTCTGTGTCTGTGCAGAAGCATCTGAGTGGGTGGGCGGAGTCTCCCGCCACCGCCACTACTGATTTTTCAGATCTGGGCTGAACCAACAGAAACCATCGCTGACCCTAACCCTACTTGTGCAGGGGTTTGGACTAGAAGATCTCCAAGGTCCCTTCCCACTTGGTTATTCTATTCTATTACAGTTATCCTATACATGAGCTGGAATTTTTGGCACCCAGAGAAAACTGAGCAACAACAGAGTTTAAAATTGACCATGTACAGTTGAGAATGGCTTTGGAGACAATAGACCTTTCTGAAGATATTCCTTCATGCATTATCCTGAATTCATGGCAGATTAAAAAGCAATAATTGTGTTTGATGATTGCTTTGTATCAACATCTTCATCACCAGTTTCCATTGTTTATTTTGTCCAGATTAGGATATAAAATATTGAACAATCTTGATCAACTATCCCAATGTGTGCCTCTCTTACTATCTATGATATGGGTGCAGACACATTTAAGTCTTTGCAAAGAAACTCCTCCAAGAAAAGCCCGGGGACATGAGTAAAGAAGCAGTGTATGCCTGCAAGGCTACTCTTCCAGCTAGTTGTTTCCTTCTAATGTTGTCATAAATTTCTAATTAAACCATCTGGCTAGGTGAGAAAGGAGAAGAGATGGCAGAATCTAGTCTACAAGTAATCTTTGATTTACAAATCAGGCAAGGAAGCTGCAGGGCTGGGAACAGCATGAAACTGTTAGATTTACAGAAAAAAACATCTAAACTTTGAAGGATCTAAAAAAAGATTCATGGTTTAGAGGTAGTCCTTGACTTACAACCATTTGTTCAGCACCCATCTGAAATCACAACGGCACTGAAAAACATGATCGCTGGTCCTTGCACTATAACTGTTACGGCAGCGATGGTGAACCTTTTTTGGCTCGCATGCCATAAGGGGGAAGAGTACAGGGGGTCGTGTGCGGGTGTGCCGCATCCATAATGCAATGCGAGACCCCCCAGTGCACATGCGTGCACTACAGGTACCCCCCCCCATTTTTTGCATGCTTTTTTCGCCCTCCTCAGGCTCCAGAGGCTTTATAAGAGCCTGGGGAGGGTGAAAACAGCCTCCCTCACCCGCCTGGAGNAGCGTCACCCAGCGGCATGGCCCCGCCCCTTTTTCTCCTCCATTTCGGGCAAATTTTTCACTGACTCAAATATAAGCCGAGGCGGCTTTTTTCAGCTCAAAAAGTGGGCTGAAAAACTAGGCTTATACTTGAGTATATACAGTATCTAAGGCAATTGTAAGTAAATTAACTTCCAGTTTTAATAGAATTGAATGGGATCTTTAAGCAAAGCTAAATAAAAACAACTAGAGCTTCTCTTAGAAACAATAAAGTCCAATTCACTCCCAAACTTTCCCTCTGCTTTCATAGTTTCTTTCAAATTCATCTACTATTTCCATAGAAAGTAAGGCCAGTGCAAAGAGAAGTTTGGGAAAAGCTGGATTTATAGCCAAGCAATGTATTTTTATAGTTTAAAAAGTAATGTCAATGCTTGAGCAATTGGCTTCCATGAATAAAACCTGGGAGTTGTTAAAATATGACAGTGAGACTTTTCTTTGAAAGCCCTCTACAAGACTTCTGCTTTTCTTGAGGCTCCTGTGTCAGATCGTGATAACCAACATTTCCTGCGAAACACTATGAAGGAACCATATATTAACAAAATGTCAAGGTTAAAAATGGTGTTCAAGCTGAACAAATATTCCCCCACTACACAAATATCTCCATCTCTGCTCTCTCTAAAAACTTTTTAGTCACAAAAAGGAATTATTAAAATTTGTTCTTTGTAAATAAACCAGGTTATGATATACTGAACATATTGTTGTAGAGCCTATATTCCAGTTGTTGGCTCACCCCAAAAAAGCAATTATAACTCAAGGCCCACGGACCAGATGTGGCTTGCAGGGTTCTTAGATCTGGCCTGTGGGGCCACCCTGGAAACGACTTATACACGGTGCCTCTCCCAGTGAAAACAAAGCTAGGGAAGGCCATGTAAGGTCCTCCCAAGCTCAGTGTTCACCGGCAGAGCATTCGGGCCATCATAGGTGTCTCAGACATGTGATGTTGAGCTGACCCCACCCACCTTGGCCTACCCCTATCCCCTGAGTTCAAACACAACCTGATGCGGCCTTCAATGAATCAAGTTTGACACCAGTGCATTAAAGTATCTGAGAGATCACCTCTTCCTGATTACATCGTCCTGTAAGCCCTATGGGAACGGAAGAGTTTATCTCCAGCACTATTTTCAGATCCCTGCAACCTTTTCCAAGAAATCTGTTCTTCCACGTATCTGTATGTATTTAACAATTCATTTGGTGGGGTTGTAAATCACCTTGAGACTAAATCGTTTTGCCTGCTCAATCCTAAAGGAAGTATCACAACCTTGCAACATGTGTTTTAAATGGGTATGTCTTAGTTGAAGACTGGCACATAGTCATTTAAGCAAGTAAGATGATTAAAGGTCTTGCTTTGACGATTTCAGGTGTGGCTCGGTGTAAATAAAGGCAGAGTCCAGGTATTTGCCTCCACAAGCTTTACATGTTTATTCAGCTGAATAAAGATGTCCCCCTCAAAGTAAGAGGGAACTCTGAACATATTTGACACTCATATTTATATGTTTGCTGCATTGTCCACTTCTCCACACAGAAGGACTATTCCACTGTGGGATTACAAACATATTATCTTTCAACAATGTACTTTATATTGTTGGGATGGCTCAGATTCTTTCAGCTATATGCTCCTACAGTGAAGAAGAAATAGAGGGTATGACTTCTATTTGTCACTTGCTCTTCTGCTTGGCTAGTGTTTAGATATATTTTTAAGGGTTTTCAAAATATATAGCTCTTGGTGCCTGGTCTGCTCTTTTTGCGTCTGAAAGTTGATATGAATTTCTTTTCTTTTTAGGTTTATTTGTTTTTACTTGTTTCACTTTTTTTAAAAAAATAACTACTGGATTAGGGCTGTAATAAACTTTTGCATTGTACTGGGTGAAGTTCATGCAGCTTCTTAATCTATTCCAATCCCTGAGATTCTGTGGTAAATACTCTGAAGTGAGAAAATGAAAGTTCAGAAGGTGTCATTAGCACCACAGAGCAAAAACAGGAAAAAAAAAGTTTGAAAGACAAGAAGGAAAGGGGAAATTATTCCGTTATTCCTGAGTTATCTCCAGCACTATTTTCAGCTTGTCTGAGGCCAAGAACTGAGTACATCCTTTTATAGTTAGTAGGAGAGAGAGGAAGAGAAGATTGAGAAGTTGGCTTTGGTCAACCTAGTACAAGTACAAGTAATTATATA